ATAACGTTGTTTGGTCCCCCGCGCGCCGCGCGACGGGACCAAAAGCGCAAATCCCCCCTCCCCGAAACCGCCTCTCAGTGTGCCGGTGTGAAACGACACGACGAACCCCAAAACCGCGTCCCCTGAAACCGCATCCCGACAGGTACCTGCCGCTGGGCCCACCGCGCCCCTCCCCCCGAAGTGCCACACCAGAGAACCGGGTCTCTCGCGGGACCGTCACGCGAGACCCGAGTTTTGCTTTAGAGTATTATTATTAGGGAAGTATTAGGGAAGGAACTCTTACCTACTACTCCTAACATCATTGCTGCATATGAGTGAGGATTGAAAGAAAGATAATGTATTTCTGCGATGGAACTCAAAATTTGGGCCAGCAGGAATGCAATACCCTGCTCGAAATGCCCTGAAGTGGCCCTAAGGTCACATGCAGGCCGCGACCCCGGTCTGAGGCCTCAAAGACCAAGGGGAGAAAAACCTCTGAATTGGCCTCAAGGCCTGTGCGCCCGACAGTTGACTTCGGTCAACTGCCCAGCCGCCCAAGAGTCAAAGTCTGCATGGACCCAGCCCAGGCCACAGGTTAGACACACACACTTGTTTGTATGCAGGTACCAAGACAACATTCGGACCAAGTGGAAGTCTGCAATTGTATGCGATACAGGCCCTCGGCTGTGAGTCAATCTGAGCCACCGTGGGTGGGAGACTTGAGGCCAGTCAACCTCATCAAACACTACATAAGGCCCGGCCTCCAGGGAGTCAACATTCAGTCTTGCTATGCTGACTTGACGCTGGCTTGACACTGGCTGGACGCTGGCTGCTCGCTGGCACTGTGGACGACAACGCGAGACTGTGGCTTGCATGCTGGCGCCTTCTCGTTTCGGCACCAGCCTCTGCTGACCGGGCACAAGCCATGCTGTCTTCGACATTGATGTGGCGCATGCCACTCTGTCTTCGTTGCTGACGTGGCATTAGCCACACAGTCTTCATTGCTGAGTTGGACGTGACAAGGAGGGAGATCGGGTTCTGTGGAATGTGAGAGAGAGAGGATACTTACCTGTTGTTGACGTCGATACTGTGCGCTGCTGAACGTCTCCACGGGAGAACTGTGCCACATGGCACACTGACGTGGTCAGGACCTGTCAGGCTCATTATTGGACACTGATTGCTGATGTGGCAACGAGGGGGAACCCCGAAGAAGGAGAGGGAATTGTTGGGTTTCTTTTCCACCCTCTCATCTGTCTTTTCCCCCTCTCCTCTCTCGAAAGATCACATTCACGATTATTGGAGATATTATTCAGCGTTGAGTTACCTTGTTCGTCGACGAGTGTCTTCCAGACTGGGTTCATTACACCTTTAATTTTATTTTTGTTTCCCCCCCTCTCCTGACCATCACTCCTCATAGGGATCCAGACAAGTGGCACCAGGTTCAACTCGAATCTTTGGGACAGGTGGTGGAACCCTTGATTCGCACCTCAGGAAATACTCTTCGGCAGCACCATCTCCTCCTCCTCCTGCTCATCCTCATCCTCATCATCCTGCTCCTCCTCCTCCTCCTCATCGTCATCATCATCATCATCAGCAGCAGCAGCACTAGCGATGATGATGATCATCGTCATCATTGTTATCTTCCTCATCGTCCTCATCCCTTTTCTCCCTCTCCCCCCCCTATCCCAAGGCACCTCCTGCTGGGAAGCTACCCAGTGCTAGGAAACCATAGTTTTCTCCTTCATCTCCTCGCAAGCACCATCTCCTCGTCCTCCCCGTCCTCCTCCTCCTCATCATCCTCCTCATCCTCCTCCTCCTCCTCCTCCTCATCATCATCATCATCAGCAGCAGCAGCGGCCACACTAGTCATGATGATGATCATCATCATCGTTGTTATCTTCCTCCTTGTCTGAATCCCCTGTCTCCCTCTCCCCCCCTACCCCCCTCCCTCCCTTTCCTCCCCCTTCTTCCCTTCCTCCCCCTTCTTCCCCATCCTCTCTCTTCTCCCATGTCTCCCTCTCCTCTTCCTTCTCTCATTCTTCCCCTTGCTTTCTTCCGTTTGTTCCCCTCCTCCCTCTCCTGCTTCTCCACATCCTCATCCTCATTGTCGTCATCTCCACCCTTCCTTCCTCCCTCTCCTCCTCCTCTTCATCATCATCACCACCACCGCCATCATCGTGGCTAGAAAAGAGGGCACAATCACAGCAATAACAGCACCAAGGTAGCGGGGATCTTAGAAGACAAGGCTTCACTGCAGAACTCAGCATGAACCTGCACGGCGGACTTTTTGGTTAAGTTGACAGAAGAAGTGAGGACAGGTAATGGTCCCTCCCCCATTCCCTGGGACAGTTCATGGTCCCTGCCGCATTCTGTGGGACAGTTCATGGCCCCTCCCCTATTGTGCCAACAAACAGAATAGGGATGGAATTTTGCGTATGGAGGAGGAGAGTGTGAGAGTGTGGTGTGACTTACCCCTCCAGCAGCCTTCCTGAGTTCTTCCTCTGTAACGGCCTGCTCTTTCTCTTTCGTTGTCTCGACTTCCATGGCGTCATCATCATCTTCCACTGTGATTCCTTTCTCATCCTTCTGTTCTTCCTTTTCCCTCTCTGCCGCCTTTTCTTTCTCCACGTTCTTCTCTGCTGCCCTCAGGGCAGCCTCCTTGGCTGCATTTGCCGCCTCTTCTTGTTTCTTGGCAATCATTATCGAAACCTACAAAAACATTTTCAGACAACAAAAAGGATGGACACCCGAAAAAATAAAAGGGAAAAAAAAGGACATAGTACATACTTTGGCACTAGGTCAATAGCTTGTGCTCTTTTTTTACAAACACAGAGACAAGCAAAAAAAGTACATATATTTAATGTCATTTATAGTAATTTTATACATTTGAGTATCCCCAGGCATAATGCAAAACTGCAGCGAAGGGAACGGGCTTGGAAGAGTTCACCTCACACCTACTAACTGCTAAAGAAAAAACTCAACTTCTTCCCAGAGAGTGAGAGACCAAGCAAAGAAAACGCAAAAAACAAACAAAAAACTTAAAAAAAGTCAATCGCCACTACATGATCGGACAGGGTTTTTTATGCTAGCACGGGTACACAGGTCTGAGCTATCTGTTTGTTACTTTGGGGCTCGTTCGACACTCCTCGGGCGCGTAAAGTCCCCGAGGAATTGTTCGTTCCACATATCCTCGGGGATGCAGTTGGAAAAAAAAAAGTGAAAACACTCCGAAGGAAATTCCTTGGGCTTCGAGGATTCCCCAGCCATTTCTTCCTTTTGCCCAAGGAACCTCACGACGTCCCTTGGGCAAAAGGAATCCGCGTTTCACGGAGAGGAGCGGGCACATGGGTAGAGAGACGTTACAACCAAGAATCTGGATCATGGCTGCACCCTATTGCCTGAAGGCCTCAAACACATTTGATTTTTTTTTTCTTTTCTTTTTTCTTGTCTGACATTGTTCGAAGGAAATGTCCTCGGGCGACGTCCCCGAAGACAGGTGGAACGATGGCGGGAATTTCCTTGAAAACCCCCAAGGAAACTTCCTTCGGCCCCGAGGACGCCCCAAGGAGTGTCGAACGAGCCCCTTTCCCAGTGTCGCCCTTCGAGTTGCATGACATCAGGTTATGCGGTGCTTCACTTTGTAGTGACTCGATCCAGCAACCAGTGAGTACCTCGTGTACGATGTTTAGTTCCTGACATAGTAGTCGCACGGAGTTTGTATTGGGCCCAACCGGACCTTCAGCACCTCATCTAAGATGTTTAGTTCCAGACCCTGCAGTCGCACGGAGTTTGTCTTGGGACCAACCGGCCCTTTGGTACGTGTTTTTTGAGGTTTCGATCCAGGCCCATTGTGGCTCTTGAGATTCAGACAGGCCGTACGGACTATGCAGTGGTCTGACCCAGGTTACAGTACCTGCAACCAGTCGGTATTTCATTCTCGGTACCATTTTTATTCAGATACCCATGGGACTGGCTGTGTTGCCCGGAACCGTGCAGGTTTCTGTATGCATGGGTCCTGGGGACCATCTCACGCAAGTGTGTACATGCCATGCATCGTACTCCCACACACAATGAACAGTAGTCTCACAATAGACAAAGATAGAGAAGATGAGGACCGAGTTTCACAGCTTATATTATCAGAAATATGAATACAAAGTGTTTCAAAGTTCCCCTGAGTCCAGCGCTCGTCAGCGCAACACCAATATCTTGCCAACTCATCAATATGACTTCCAGTGAATCAGTGCTACCCCTGCAGATAGTCTCCAAGTCATCGATGTGGTCACTACTCATCACCACCACCTCTGCAGGTCACATCCAACTCAGGTAAGTATCTTCCATAGCCAAACCTTGAATGAACACTCTCAGCCTCAATCCCTTCCTCCTATGATGCATACACACTACTCTTTAATACTCATGAGGATCTACTCTGGATACCACTCATAGCTACATACTAACCCTCTACTACTAATGCTAACTCGCTGGGCAGCTATGGCTGCATCACTTCCAGCGTACAGGCTTCTTCCTCCCTCCAGCGCGTCTTCCCCTCCAGCGCTGCTCCTCCTGACTCAGCACACAAGTGCACCAGCACTTCCACGCATTGCAGCCAGTGGAGATCTGGCGAGGAATGAGGCAGGCAGTTCTTTTTATAGTGCTGGCCACTCCTCGCTGGGTCTGCATTGGCTCAATTCAGCCTCTCCCTTTGTCCCAGACCCTGCATTGCATATGTTCCAGTACAGTCCCAATGAGGTTCAACTGCTGCTGAGGCACTTCGGCCTGGATTTGGACTTGAAAGTCTGGATCTGGACTGACCCCTTGACTTAGACCAGAACTGGGACTGTGCCTACTGACTTCACTTTCGGACAGGCACAACTCTAAACGAACAGACACATTTACTACTTGAACAGGCACTTTCCATTGCACGAACAGGTACACTGCCTGCACGTACAGACAACACCCTTACCCGAACAGACATGACATACACATCTCCTGGTGAACAGGTAAGTCTTTTGACAATGCCCTTTGCCTTAGATTTAGATGCGCCTGTTGATAGAGAACTTGACCTTTGACCTGTTTTCAGGTTTCTGAGCCCTGGCAAGATACCTTTTCACAATGCTTTACTTTTACAAGGCCCGTGCTGCTCTATTTTTACAACGCCTCAGGCCTATATCGAGTAAAGGCCCTTTTATGTAAGTGGAACCAGTCGGTATTTCATTCCTGGTACCATTTTTATTTAGGTACCCACGGGACTGGCTGTGTTGCCTGGGACCACAGCCTAAGTGGAACCAGTCGGTATTTCTTTCTTGGTACCATTTTTATTCAGGTACCCACGGGACTGGCTGTGTTGCCTGGGACCACGGCCTTTGACCGTGACAGATATTTTTATTTTTTTTTAAATTGGACCGTTTCTCGATTTGTATGTCATCCTTGCACAGGGGCCATGCTAATCTTCTGTATCGTTCCAATTTTAAACCTCAAGCGGCACACTTTTTTTCCATTTTCGGATGATGCCCTCAGCCTTTTTTTTTCCTCCTTAAAATAAGGCTAATTCTTTTACGCGCAACCAATTCAATTACCTGCTAGATCTGGACAGAACGGCCTTTCAGGCCTTTTTTTATTGTCATTATAGTATTACGGGGAACCCTGTAGCAGCCACATCCATGCTCCAGCCTCCAACGAGGGAACATGCCGGAGCTGCACCCACCAGCAGTCTCTGCCAGGGGGCCGAGCTTCTTCAATGGGCCAGTCAGTGTGCCTCCCATCTGCTCCCCTCCCCCTATGAACATCAGCAATGTCTGCTCTGCTACACCAGGTGGGCGATACCGGCCAGGGGGCCGTGCTTCTTCGATGGGCCAGTCACTGTGCCTCACATCCGCTCCCCTCCCCCTA